AGCGGTCAAGGGATCTCCCCCGTTCGCTTAGAAGGACCTTTGTTTTTCATATTTCGCAACGCCTTGCGGTAGGCTATACAAAATGATTATTACTGTCCACCTTCAGCGCTCAAAATCGCCTTTTGTTTTCGAAAACATTTCTCAAGTGTCACTGTCAACGGGTGCTCGATGAAAGGAAATGTCCCTGCGCCTTGTCCGACTCTTGATTTGGGGACAATTAGGGGGATAACTTGCCGCGTTTCGCACAACATCATTTGATGTGACTGTGTGCGTTCCTCCTTTTTTGTTTACTTTCCATTCCCTCCCAGCAATGTTTAAATTAATTAATCACATTAAACGTTTTGCGGGTTGAAAAATGTTTTAAACCAACTATTAAGATCACAGATATGACGCATAAATAATGATACTAAATGTTGTTGGCACAATTATGCTCCGCTGACTGCTAATGGAACTTTTCCTAGGGTGGGGAAGGGAATTACCGAATATTTTGTGGAAAATGAGAGTGTCTTAATTGAAGTTTATTATGTATATGCTTTCGTCTGGATATTTTAATTTATTAAATCAAAATGATGGATAGAAAAAGATGCCTATTTAACGAGGGGTGACTAAGAATTTTCATGATATTGTTGACATAATACATTAAAAGTAGTATTAGTAGTAGTACCTTATTCAAATAAGAAAGTATCAAAGCTACCCTCGCAAGTGTCTTTACATGAATTGGTCGCCTGTCGCTTCCATTTCGATTAAGTCGTGCAGAATTTTCTGACGTATATCAAAACAACATGAATCTGAAAGAAAACATTTCAGAACTTTATCCTAAGTAGAGACCTGAATCCTGTATCATCCCAACCTCAAAACAGTCCCAGTGTCCTTCAAAGAGTTTAAAATGGTAGAAGTGAGGAAGGAGAAGGACAGGACTGTTGTATATGCCACAAAGAGGAATTAGTCGAGTGTTAATAAACCCCCAAAAAGAGATATAGTCTTGAATAGCACTCACTCTCTCACAGGTTTCATTTGATTCCAGGACGAATTAATGTGTAATTCAATTAGTAATAATAAAATAAATTATACGAATGAGTTTTTCACATTTAACTTTCTGACAGCTTGATGGGGGTATTCTGTAGCAGCCAAATGGCTAATTGACACTGGGATTGGCCTCAGGACAAGTGTCTACCCAACAAAACCTCTCCACTCCACTCCACTCCACTCTGACCCAGTGTTTTATATTTTATTTAATGGCTTCGCTGGTTTTTTCCTCCTTATTTTTTTTTTGTTTTTGTTTTTTACAACTACATGCCAAAAACTGCCAAATTGGCAGAAACAGCACGAGCAAAGATACACAAAGCGAGCGTATACAAACAAGTTAATTGTAAGCAAAACAGTGGCTTCAGCGTTAACCAAAACCATATTTCACAATTCGTGCAATGTCTGCTCTCATCTCTACTCTACAACTCTCACAGCCAAATGAAAACTAAACACAATTAAAACTAACGAACCTGGCAAAATTTACACAAAATAAATTTTGTTTTAAATGTTATGAGGCTCATCATATTGGAGCAAGAGGATACCGATGCTGCTGCTGCTGCTGCATTTTCCTGTTGGTTCTAGTTGATTTAATTAAATGCATTTGAATGCAAATGCCTGGCAATGCGTACCGCCGGCTCTCAAAACCATCACCATGTGTGGTTTAAGTACACACACGCACTCGCACACCCATCGTCTGTTTTGGCAGTGCAGCTAGTTGTAACTAAAACAAAAACGGAAACGGTGAGCTTATGCTGCTGACAGCGCCCTCGGGTGTTATTTTATGGCAAAATATGTGAAGTCATCTGAGGCTAACGAAGGGGGCGGAAGAGTTTTGGTTTTCATAATCTAAAATAGAGCACCAGTGTGTGTGTGTACTGGTTGGGAATCCAGAAAAAGCTGCGGGCTAAATTTAATCGAAAAGTGTATCATTTTCAGCCATTCAATTGTTTTCACAGAGTCCAGAGTCTGGTAGGCTTATAGTCAATTAAAATGGGACTAAACCGACTTGTTACCACTCAAATCAGACACATGGATAACTTTTAATTAATATTTACTTAAAGTGCATCTAAAGTTGATTTCGATTACATGGAAAATGTCAGCGAAACATTAAGAGCATAAAATGTAAAACGTATTCAATGGAATTGCATTCTTATTGCTAAATCAAATAACTATCAAAAACAAATAAGCATTTTTGAATTCGATTTGAAACAAAACCTAAGCTCAAAATAAGCTTTTGCAAACAGTCGGTGGAAGAAGCTCGAAGGCCATTATAAACTGATTACAAAACCTTATCCACCTGTCAACCAGGCGGACCAACAGCAAATCTTGCAAGCTTGACTGACCAAAGTTATATCCTGCAGCTGACACTATTATTAACCATCGAGGAGCAACAACAATAACGGCAGTACCGAGAATATTTGAAATTTAATTGAACGTGCAGCCAGGCATCTCTCTCGCCCTGCCTCGCTCTGACCCTGACTGTAAACGACATTTGGGGGCAGCCTGGCATAACTAATTGAATGCATAATTTACAATTAAGTACGTAAGCTACTTTAATATTTATGTCTATAAATGCACAGTGAGCGCACATCCACTCCCGCCCTAATTTTGTACATCAACGCCCACTGCCCATCGTTCACTGTCCAAGGCTTTCCGCTCTCACCTCCCGACTTTGGCCATTATCGACCATCACTTGTGCCAACTGCAATAAATGTCAATTATTCATGAATTTTCAATAACTTGAGACGAGGCAAAATAGAAAAGTTTCTTTACGTCTCTGCGCTCTCCTATGTATATTCCCCTCCCCCTCTCGACTGCTCGTCTGCCCTTCGAGCCTCACAGCTTGGGAAAACTTTTTAATAATATGTAAATATGGCCAAGGGAAAGACAAAGATAGTTGGAGCTGGAGTGCGACGCGGAAAGCTAGACTTCGACGGGCGTTAACTAAGGAGCACATAAAATGTGATGCCAAACAAAATGAAAAAAGGGAATCGTTGAAGCGGCACGGCGGGGACTCAAAGCAAACAAGTTTGCCTTCAAAAAGCAACGAACGTGCTCGCCAGGCATAGGTTTAATGGTGAATAATTAACAGTTATTAATAATGACAAAAGCAGCTGCCGCCGATGCCATCGAAAGCAGCTTACAAAATGTATAGCACACTTTTTGGGGCCATGCGCACTCGTAATTTCTGCACAAAATGTTGTGAGCTTTTTGATTTAAAATTCACCGCCAATAATAATAAAAATAAATCATTCGCCCCGTCAGCCAACCGCTGTTCCCGTCTGCTTCAAGTCCCAGCCCCCCGTGTCCCCTGTCTTCCCTATGTCCCCTGTGTCCACCGTGGCGTATACGCAATGTTAGTTGACTTTGTTTCGAAACGAAAACGAGTGCGGTGGTAAAACTTTTTGCGCTGTGACTCCTGCTTAATAATTTGCCATAATTTATGAGAGCTGAGCTCAGCTCGTCGTCTTTATTATTGGATTTCTTCCACCCAACCCAAACCAAACCCAGACCCGGATACGGACCCGGCACCCGCCCTCGAGTGCCACCCAGACAATTTAAACTTTATGCCAAAACGTTTTTGAATGCTTAATTAGTTTGGTGGAAAATAACATCCGAGGCTCCCAGCGAGTAGCGATAGTTGAGGGAGGTCGGAGCCACCGATTGCTAAATTGGGTTTCCGAGGGGACTAACGATTTAATTTGTTTGCTATTGGTGTACTTGGAAACATATTTCATTTAATTGGCTTTATTAAATTTAATGAGAAACTTAGGCCCACTCAGCTTTTGTCATCTTGAAGATATTTAAATGGACTTAATGTCATCAAAGGAAACTAGATACCTGAATACTTTTAAAAATGTTTGTTTATTTATTTAATAATTCTAAACTCGTTTCATATTTTGTTTGATTCTCAGTGGGTTTCCTGACTTCATTTGTTGATGTAACACACCCAGCCCAGGGTTTGATACATTTTCTTCTGGCATAACAAAGCTCCAAAACGGGGAAGTACATCCAATCCAACCCCCACGAACCATTTCACCTTTCAAATGAAGATGGAGGGGGAGGCAGCAACTGTGCCTACATTAAACTCAATAAAATAAATGTGCAGCCATAAATTATACAAAGTGCGCCAGCTACACACACACGTATCGAGCTTGAGAGAGAAAGAGCGTCCAAGGGCCGACCGTGCAAAATCGACAAGTGCCACAATTTTTTATGCCAAATAATCCTTTGCCTTTCTCGTCGCTCATTGATGAATTATAGCAAATTAATTTTACACCAAAAAGTGATAGGGCCTATAGGCTAGGGGTGGTGCAGCTCTCCGCCAGCCATTCGGCAAACTGGCCTTATCAGAACATTTGCATGGCTGGCGTTGCCTAGGCAAACAGTTTAACCATATCAAATTCAAATTCGCATAAATTTCCAAGTCTGAACGAGCGCGAAAAAATCGATTCCCCGCAGGAAGAAACGAGAGCTGCTCCATTTTTTGAGGGAGCCGGGCCAGGACACCCCACTGTGGACGAACTCTAGCCAAAGTCAAATCGATTATTATTTTATCGTCTACATTGAGGGGTTGCACGCCCTGTCACCAGTCCGTGCCGGGGTTGTAAAATAAATTTAAATGTACCGGCAAAATGTATAAAAAAATTGAATATTTCACGTATTTACTTCTGTGTCCTCACCGCCTTTGCTTTTAGCCAAAAGTTGGACGTCAAAATGGTACGTGACTGTTGATTGTTGAAACTGTTGCTGTTTCTCTTTCCTGTTTCCTGTTGAGTGGATTGAGTCAATAAAATGAGTTTGGTGAGAAATTTTGCAAAAAGGTTGTGACCGATGATAACTTCTTGACGGATGTTTTTGGAAAGTGCGGCTTAGATATTTATATTTTTTAGTTACAAGCACAGTAAAATAAACAACTTGAATGAAAGTCTTACAGAGTTATGAAATAAGCAATTTAGAGTCAGTGAAACTTCTCACTTATGCCTCACACATTCATTGAGGGGTTCACCACACGATATAGTGTACTGTACCAGCGATATTGCTGTCAGAATCACAGTTAAAATATAATCAAAAGCGAACTCGCGGTCACATATGTTGTCCAGAAGCATGACATTCTGCAGCGGCTTTAATTTCTGGTGTAAGATAAGTGATGTATGCTGCGCAAATGAAAGTAATTAGTAAATGTTTCGTCCCTGCAAGGACTCACCTCATTGTCGAGAACCATCACAGTGAGGAGTCGTGAATCGGTCTTTCTCATGTACAAGCCATGAATGATCACAATCTGCTGCTGCAGGATTAACTCAGCGTCGCGGAGCCGGTCAGTGCACATCCCCAGGATGAGGACATAAAGAATGGGAATCACTACGGGACCCAAGCATCCATCCGCAATGATGTAGATTTTATTTTCCAACTCATCCTCGGCAAAGAGACTGCACTCGATCAGCAGTTCCATGTTGAAGATGCAGGTGAAGATCATCAGATAAATAGAATTCGGTAGCCAGGACATGGTTCGGATGATGAACTTATGCAGATTATTGATACGGAGATGCAGTTTGAACAGTAACGATAACTTCCGGTGGTGGCGAACGGCGATGTCCGACCGTTGCTCATGATCTTGGATAAAACGCTGCAGGAAAAAGGTGATACTACGGTACCAGTTTAGCAGGAGCAGCTGGTAGATAAAGTACCCAAGGAAGCAGTACTCCAGCAACACCCAATAGAGCAGGGAGATCATGAGGAAGTAGAGTTTGTCCATTAGCGAATCCAGCAATATGTAGAGCATCCACAGCTTGCAAAGATATACTCCCAGCAACACAGAGTCGCAGCGGTATATCATGCCAAACCTGCGCTCAATCATCCTGGTGATGTAAGGATCTCATTCACCGCGTGCCGCACATACCTGCGATCCTGTTTCAGGTGCAGAAAGATCGCCAGGCGCCGCAGCACATTTATCCCTATTCCCTGCATGAAAAGACTCATCAGAAAGTGCTGGGCGTGGCTGGTATTCACCAATCTGATTTGAATATATATAAACAATGCCATCACGAAGTATATCATGTGTTGGCTGGCCAGCAGGAAAAGCTTTATAGCAACCACTATCTTGGACAGCACTCGATGGTACCGAGCCTCCTCCACTCTGTTCGTTTCTGCATTATACTTTAGCTTGAAGAAGTGACAAACGCAGGCGATTCCATAGATAACCCAGGCACTGGCCTTGAAAACAGACGATGTGCAGTTTCGGTTGCACCTTCCGGTGAACGTTCTTGTTACTCCGCATCGCTTTAAGTGTATATGAGTAAGCCTCTGTTCAATTTGGCTATTAGTAGTCGAAAGCATAGGAATTAGGAATTTATTACTTAACTGCTGCATTAGCAACCTATATGGTACCTATATGATACTATAATCAAGTGCCTGAACTATAAGATACCCTATACTCAATTATACCGACACAGTTTATTCCTGATAGTAATATATAATATATGACCACTTAAGAAATTATAATTAATAATACAACTGAGTAGGTAATCCTAATAAGAGACATCAGGATTAAATAGAATTAGTTCCAACATAATTAAATGTTTTAAAAGGTTTCATTCTTCCTTTGTTATACTTATCTAATAATACAATATACCCTTCTTTAGATTGGCGAATAAGGTTGTGAGTTATTGATGGATGGGGATAATATATTACTAAAATGTTTCCATTAAGAATTAACTTCTCTTTATTATTGGATCGATAAATTGTTCATCAAAATAAGTGAATAAACATTTTCTGGTATCCTTTCTTAATTTAGCTGGTAAAGAAAACTACTTAAAAGCGTTGCAAACGTTATTACGACACTACCTTAAACTTAAAGAAACTTATAATGTTAGTTTTGTTTAGCTTTCCTAAATTCAATGTATTTTTTTTTTAAGAACCCTTTACAAAAAAAACCCAGGATAACGATATGCACCCTTGGGTGAGATAGCCCTTCAAAGGACTAACCTGAGAAAACTGCAGAGCAAATGAGCTGCGCATGGAATCCGATACTGGATTAAAAGTTGAATGACCCACCAACCGCCAGACAGACAGACGAATGGATTCGCGAGGAGCATCCCATGAATGCCGCACCGCCGGAAAATACAACTCGGCACAGTTGTTGCCGCATCGCATATGGAAAAATGCGAGCTGAGCCGTTGCCTCGGCAACGAATCCTACAACTTCACACAGTTGTGGCGCCGCCGCCTCCGCTGGAAATCTCCGTCGACCCATTCATCTAAGCCAGAAGCACATTACGCACGTCGCGGAAAATTGTAAATATTTTCCCATATCTGCGGGCTGGCTTCCATTTATATATGTATGAATGTGCTGTGGCAAAATTCAACTTCAAATGCTCATGTTGCAATGAATTGAAAAATGTTAATGAATCTCACTCGTACACTGCTCAAAATTATGGGATCTGACCAATATACTATAACTGAAAAGGGATCTAGTTATCTGTAGTTCAATTGCTGCAAGAATTATAATTTGTTTTAGCAATTCGGCAATGATAAGAATTCTTCCTTTTGAAGGTTCATGCTGGTGGGAATTGATATACTATTTTTAGTTTTTAAAAATAAAGATGTGAGTTTTAAAATATCTTTTTTTAGGTTTAAATTCTGTTTCTATACAAACGTAAGCCTTAGAAATCTTTTAGTCGCTAAAAAGACTTTTTGCGTTTACACAAGTATCAATTGAGCTCCTTTTATAGGTGAATATGTATACTCTTCCTCATAATACTTTTTAATACGTTTTTTGGTTTCATTTTAGAAATTTTGGCAACCCTCGGACCCTCACAGTGACTGCTGTACTGCGGTGCAGACTCTAGATTGCAGCACTGACACCCTAAGCTCCTGTGGCCCCAGAGCCAGAGCACCATTCAAATGAAATATGCTGTTCGTCGGTGTGTTTCGGGATTGGTGATTAAACACCCTCCTCGCAGCTTGCAACCCTTCACCGATGCTTTTTGTACCGGGGTAGCCTCCATTCAGTTACAGATCCTCTTTGAATTTACGCGGCACCATCTTTCCACGGCTTCCTTCCGCGCGCACTGCATGGAAATGCTTTCCGCAATTATTGCGAGCTCTCCAATAAAAATCCCTCGAATGGGGTTGATGCCGCAGCGCGGGTCTGTTTCTGAAATACTGTAAGCACTGTTCAAGTGGTTGAGTCCTCCCAAACGCTTGTGGCTCTGCCTCAAATAGACAATGAGGAGCGAGGAAGCCGAGAAACAATGACAATTTGAATGGAGCCAGCAACGTTGCCAAATTGTGGGTTTTGGTCTGATAGCTGCTAATGTCTCGTCAAGGCAATTGTTATTAAAATCCTGGAAACCATAAATATTGGCAAGAGACGTTCTTTGAAAGTCGGTTAGTTTCGGATTTTCTTGTAGTAAATGAGTAAGCGAAAGTTGGGGGACTTAAAACACTCCATAGAGAAAGAAACCGGTTAAGGTATGTACATAAAAAGAGTCTATTATTTATATGTTTATGTATAAATGTGAACTTTTTTGTAAGGTATAGATCCTCCAATATAAACTGTATATTTCTGCAATCCAGAAAGCCTTTTTCGAATTTTCCAAAGCTATCAGAATGCAATGTTTGTCCAAGTAAATTTAAGGAAAGCCGTGGTACAAATGTAGAACTCAAGACTTTTGAGCTGGAGGATCCAGGACCTAAGCTCTAGGCGTGTGATTTATTTGTAATAACAATTAATACATCTAAACACCTTCTCATAGAGGAAAAGTTATTTTTTAAAAGTAGTATAGTATTTTTTAACCTTTTTTACTTTTAAAGAAATGACCCAATATCCTTTTCTACAAGATACACAAACGTTCGCAACATTTGTAGCTGTGTGATGTTGACTTTCCCGTAAATATACGAATACGGCCACAACACCCAAAGTGAATTTAATAAAGCCGCCGGGCAAAATTCAAATCATGGCATGACCTTAAACATTCCTCTCCAACCGGTCGCCCGAGCGGACCAAAAGCGACAGCCAATATTTTATATAAAATTGTGGAAAAAATAGCTGCGAGCTGTTTGAGAAAAATCAACACAGAGCCGAAAAAGAAAGAGAGAATTTTCCCAAAAAGAAACGATATGGTTTATTAAATATTTTGAGCCCCAGGCGCAGTTCAGAGCAAACACACTCGCATTAATGCGTGAAGTCCTGGAACGAGGAGTGGAATTGAATTTAAGGCCTTGGCAGCAGCGAGAGAGAAATGTGCCAATAACTTCAAGGAGGGCTTTGCTACAGGACTCGGATTCCTTCTCTACACATTGAGTGGCTGACGTGGCGGCGACCCCATTGTCAGGAGCCAATCTTCGATGTTTTGGCTTCGATGCAGCGGCAGGTCGTTTTCATTCTCCCATCCATATCCAGGTCGATGTCATCGTCCTCGGCGAGGGTGGCAAGCTCCATGGATTGAACTCCCAGGCGCACGGCCACCTTGTAGACCATAAACGTGAGTAGACTCATTATCCAGCCGCAGATTGCGCCGAAGGCAATGCACGTGGCCACCTTGATCAGGATGCCAAAGTCGGAATGGAGGCTATAGTGGAAGATGGTAGCTGTTTTCTAAGATATTCCAGATAATGCATTTTTTAGAGAATTTTAAATTTCGGGTGAGTGTCATACCAAAACTTAGAAACTAGTACTCTGAAAAGTCTGTCAATGTCAAAGTTCATAGACGAAACAGTTACATTCACCATTCACATTCACATCTTAGCTCAATAAAACTTATCGAACTCCCAATTCTCTCAACATGGACCAGATGTTTCCCAACCCCATTGAGCTGTTCGTGGTCCAGTTCGTCCAGCCCATCATAGATGGCCTGGCCTATCTTATGAAGGAGGTCCACTACTTTGCCTTCATCGCCGCAGTCGCCCTTCTAGGAATCTTTCTGGGACTGGTTTTCGGCATCATATGCGTCATGTGGTACAAGTCCACACGCGAAGAGAAAACTGAGAAGGTCTTCACATCCGAAGAGGGTCAGGCCGGTGACATGAAGAAGAATGAATAGACTGAGAATTTTGATGTTTCAAGTTTAAGAAAATCGTTTGTTTATGCAGCCAAATAAAGCAGAGCTTGAGTTCAGATATTTCGTTCTCATCTTCATCAGGACCATAGATTAGTATCATATTCCAACGGAGGTATAAATATTTCAAGTAACATTTATTTTGAGTCAAGCCCCGATATTCAAAAAATTAAGACAAGAAAAGAGAACTTGAAGTAGTTCTGTAAACCAAAACAAAGGAAACTTTTTTTTTTGGGTTTTTCGCTGGGATATTTACTTCGCTAAGCACATTTTAATTTCCCCAGGAAACCGGAGGCTGACTATGCAATCAGTAAGGAAAAACTAGCAGGACTAGCAAGCCATAAACTAAATTTGGTCAAAAATGTCCTCACCCCAAGGATGTAATTTTGCCAAAACGCAAAATATTTGCCAAAGGAGGAAACCCAGCCGGAAGAGGCAAAGACGCTGGCGGTGGTTAGGTCAAAGGACAACGTCTTAAGTAGCAGGAGACGAGCCCCCAACGGCATAAAGACAATTTAAGTGCTCACTTAGTTCGTGGAGTTCATAAACAGGACGCTGGGTGAATTGAAAAACGACGGCGGTGAGCCAAGGGCAAGTCGATCCTTCGCCCCGCTCTCTACCAACCCTTTTTTTTGTGCGCAGAGAAAATAAAACAAAATTAAATAAAATTTATTTTTATAACGAAATTTCGTGACACGGCCGAGGTGAAAGGAGCTCCAGTGGATGGCAGTCGGCCAATGTGGCCTTCACGAGTTTATTACAATTTTGTCATCCCAAACACGACCGGGAGCGAGCGGAAACGCGACTGAGAGGGAAAATGATTGGTTTTGTCGTCATCGTCTGGCGCAGCGGAGCAACAAATAGATGGCAACAAAATGGCCAAAGTTTCAGCGAATGGTAAACTTTGCGATGCGAATGCAAAAACGCAAGTCAACAGAAACAACCAGAAGGCGAGTCGCAGGAAAATTAAGTTTCTGCGCCGCTGCGTTGGCATAGGAAAGGCCTCGGAACGTCGTCAGACGCGGTCAAATTAAAAGCGCATTGCGAACCGAGAAGTCCCGGGGACATACAGGACACACAGGACGGAGTCCACACAGAAATTCACCATATTCTTTGGGAAATCGCCTTTGATTTTAGCAAGTTTAAGCCAAATATGACTCTATCTGAATTTAAAAATGTTGCTTTTTAAATTGATTACTGTCTTAAGTAATAGATAAGGTGTTTACTTTTATGAATAATGAATTACTTGTTTCAATAATTAGATATAGTTTTCAATCTTCTTGAAATAGAAATGCAAATAAATAAATGCAATGTAGATTTATGTACTTACTTAGAAGCTACCGAATAACTTTTAAAATACATGTGGTTTGCTGACTTACCTGAAAAGAAAAGATACAAAAGGTTAGTCAAAGGAATTACATGTCAATTTTAATTTAGCATAAACGATTTGAGGGTCTTCAAAGTGGACTTCAAATGAGGTCAAGATCTTAAGGACATGTCCAGATGGAATACTAAATTGAAAAATAGTTTATTAAACACTCAGCAAGCAGAATGGAAGTAAATCCACGATGGTCTCAGAGAAAAAGTCCCCTTTTAATCTTTCACTCTTCTTAATCAATGTATTTCTCGCACTCCTGAGACCATGATGGAGTCACTTGCTTTCTGCCGCTCAAAAATGTCAGCGGCAACTCTTTCGTCGCCATCGCCACAATCCATCACAATCACAAAGCCAGAGCTTGAAATCGGAGTCGAAAATGAGGAAGGAGATGCGGGACAGACTCCTCACCCACTCAACCATATGCATGGAGTCGGTCCTTCAGTCAGCCTGTCATTCAGCAATATACCGCAAACCGAAAACGCGTTGCAACTTCCCCAACTGAGGACCAGTGTGAGTGGATACACAGGAATAAAAACTTTTTATATTTTAAAAATAAACTATGGGTTTATCATTCTTTATCATTTTTCCTTGGTATTATATCCTATTTTTAACTAAGGAGGTATTTTTATAAGTACAGAGAATTCTTCAACATCAAATTTATAGGGTCAGAGGTTCATTTCTATATAAGAAATGAATAGAATAATATGAAAATACAAAAATACAATAAATTTAATAATATCTGTAAAAATAACATATATTGTTATACCGATTATATTAAAAACACTTTAGATGACCTATATATTAGTTTAAACTAATTTTATGAAAAGGGTTAACCGAATATTGTTCTATAAATATTTCCTAAGCTAAAGGAATGATTTATGTATTACTATCGATATATCGATCCCCAGTTCTATGGCAACTACATATATGATGTTCTCCAAATAAGGCTTAACAATGGTCAAAATTTAAGCATACCATATTTTGCAAATTTCCAAATTAAAGCTCACACTATATGTATTTGGCAGTGACTTTCTATAGATAATATCCAGGTATTTTTCTCAGTGCATATATGCTCCATCTACTGGGGGACGGTTGCTTGTGTGGTAGGTTGGTCGTGGCGGAAACAAGGGTCTGGAGCAACGGGCTCGCGGGCCCAGACGTCGGCTTACCAACCACATTTGTCATTTAAGCTCAACCAAATGTAATATGAAAATCGGCATGAATGGGGAAATGTCAACGTGCATTGTGAAGTCACAGTCGCAGTCGCCGTTGCCGCTGCAGTCACTGTCGCCATTGCCGTTGCAGTCACATTCACAGCTCAGCGGTTGGGTGGCAATGGTAATGGTGGTGATGGTAATGGTGGCTTGGTGGTTTTCCCCTGTATGTTGTGGAATTTCCTGTCAAGCTAATTTCCTTTGGGTGCTGCTGTTTGGTTGGGATCGCGTTGCATTGCCCTGAGTTGGCAGCCCATTGAATCAATTCACCTGCATGCATAAAATATTTTCCCTCAAAAAAGTTGTGTGCACACACGGCATGCATTTGTGTGTGTGAGTGTGTGTGTTACATAGGGGGGATAGTGTGCATGCAAAATATTTCAAACATTGCATATTTTATAGTTTATTGACTGCGCTCCTTCATCCCCTGCCCAATCGTTTGTCGACGAAGTTTGGTGATGCCCCACGTGTCCTCCCATTTCTCGTTTTTTCCCCTTTTTTTTGTCCATTTACGTCGCGTAGTTGACACAAAATGAGCGCCATGCAGGGCGTCCCACTTGGGGAAGCCCCTGACTGCCTGACTGCCTCCCTGCCTGTCCTTCCCCTTGGCGGGAATATTTGTTCCATTTGCCATTTACCACCTTGACTTGTTTGCCAATTGCAGCAGAAACTCGTGGAGTAACGTGTCGCTACATTTGGGAATTGTTGTGTATTGTGCACACCCACCGCATAAAATAACATATACACATTTGCACTATGTGTGTACATTTTATACGCGCCCGGCCCCACCCAGAGGGGGGGCGGAATGGATCGGGTCGGACTGCCATGTGTTATTAAAATTTATGTGCGAAAAAGGTGTCGAAAGCCGGACACGGGACCTGGGAGATGAAATGCGGGATACGGCACAGTGGAAGATCCCAAAAGTTGTTGGAGAACGAAATGTTTTCCATACTTTTTATAACAAAATTAAATGTTTTTATAAAAGGTGTAAAGAATATCGTAGATATTTTGTTTATTATTTCAATCTGTATTTATGAAAGCAAGTAATTATTTATTATTAAAATGAATTCCCTATAATACTAAAATAATCTCTTTGTAAGCCTGAGCTTATCTGTCTAAAGAGGCGCTTTATGATTCTTGGAAGAAGTTCACAGCGATAACCCCATATAGTACCTGGTATCAAGCCTCAAGCTAGGCATCGGATCTTGATCTCTCAGTTGACAGACTGCGTTCGTTGTCTTCAGTTCGCAATGGGTTCAGTTCGACGGATGATGCTCTACATAGTGCCTCTTCTGGTACTATTGGAACTCGGATCGAGTACGAGCTACAATGATGGGTGGACTGAGTACAAGAGAAAATACAGAAAGGAGTACAAACGCGAGGACAACTACCATCGAGCGATATACAACAGAAAGCTGCAAACAATCCGGACTCACAACAGGCTCTATCTTCAGGGAAAAGTGAGCTACTGGATGAGACTGAACGAGTTCTCCGACTCTGATCAAACTGTGCTCTTTGCGTACCGGACAGCGGTTCACCCGCCCCTAGAACCAGCCACAATGCGAGTCATAAAGTCTCCCAACTTCAAGACTTACAACCAGATAAGGGGTGGAAGAGATTGGCGCCAGTTTGGAGTCATCTCGCCCGTGGGACGTCAGGGCAACGAATGTCTGAGTTGCTGGGCCTTTTCCACCTCGGGAGTTCTGGAGGCGCATTTGGCAAGGAAAACCCGTCGTCTGGTGCCACTATCCCCAAGCACCTGGTGGACTGTGTACCTTATCCCAACAATGGCTGCCTGGGCGGATGGGTGAGCGTGGCCTTCAACTACACCAAGATTCACGGTATGGCCACTTTGGCCTCCTATCCGTACGAACCGAAGGCAGGAAGGTGTCTCTACGATCCCAAGCATAGTGGAGGCACATTAAGGGGACATGTCACATTAAACAATCGATGCGAAAGGGAACTGGCTGAGGTGGTGTACAACATTGGACCCGTGGCTGTGTCCATTGATCATCTGCATCAGGAGTTTGAGGAGTACGGCGGCGGGATCTTGAGGATTCCAGATGCCGCTCGGATCGGATTTACCTTACGCACTCTGTCCTTGTGGTGGGCTTCGGCACGGATCCGACCTGGGGCGATTACTGGCTGATCAAGAACTCCTATGGTTTATCCTGGGGGAGAATGGTTACTTCCGGTTGGCGCGTAATGCTGGCAATATGTGCGGCGTGGCCTCCCTTCCCCAGTATCCCATTGTATAAGTTTTATTTAAGTCAAATATATTTGAGAGTATTTATTTTCTATGCCTATGTTATTATATTAAAGAAATTGTAATTTATGTTGCAACTTTTCTCTACAAAACGCATTTAATACCAATTCAATTTCAACTTGTTATCTTGTCACATATATAAATATTTATATTTATGGGGATTTTATTGTATTCCCTTCCTTTTTCCAAACAACAAAGTAC